TTTATTGATAATATATTTGGTTCAATTAATCATTTAAAATCCTTAAATGACAATAGGAAGGCTTCGATTCTTTCTTTGTCGAAACTATTGTGTGGGTATAGGTGTGGGTTAACGAAGACTAATCGCGGTGTAGGGAAGAGCCCAATTTTTGGGAGTTGTGTGGGGGCTAAGATACAACATGTTCTTTATGAATTTCTATTCCTTCTAATAAATGACAACTTAGCCTTTCGTTACACGTATGATAGGGAAACAAAAGATGTAAGATCATGTGAAATATGTATCAAGTAAAAAACTTGAGACGTATTAATTGATGAGTCATATACAGGTATTTTTTGAATATATTCAAAAATAAGTATTGAATATATAGAATTTTACAACATTTCTTTTTAATATGCAATATATTCAATAATTTGGAACAGGAGCGTTATTGGAATCTCGATGTCAATGTAATTGAATATGAATTTCATTATAAATTCATTATTCTTACAGGTATGGTGGATTTAATACACTATCGGACGCCGTTCCCCACCTCGTGAAGAACGATCTTTCCTTCCTGGTAGCCCGTCAAACAGACGCGAAAGGGACGAGGAGCTTCTGGCTATATTCAGATTGCAACGAGTATTATAAGGCAATAGCCTCTCGTACCAATTACTTCACAAATAATTTCCCACATTTATTTGAAGTCATCCCAGAAACCCGTCATGTAAAAGTCTACATAGACGTTGAGTGGAATTTAAATGCTTGTACTATTAAAAAAGAAGAAACCTTTTCGATTTTAAAAAATTCTTTCGAGTCGTTTGTTTTAGACAATTTCAGTAGACTACCCAATATTTCATTCTTTTGGTCGTATTCTAATTACGAGGCAAAAGCCTCCTATCACCTTGTAGTAAACGGTTTCTCTTGTCGAAATAAAGAATGCGTGAAAAAAATTGTCGAATCTTACAGAGCATCGTTAAATATCGAAACGACGTCTGCACTTACGATTGATGGCAAATTTGTTATCGACCTAAATGTTTATGGGCGGAATCAACAATTCCGCCTATTGTATAATTCGAAACTGTTTAGAGATAGTAGCCTTCATGTCAAGTTCCCAATGGAACAAAATTTCCATCTAACAAGAGATAATTTGCATACGACAATTGTTCAAGTTTTAAAAAAAAATGAAAATGATCACCCATTATTGACTGATAAGTTAAATACGCCGATCGAAGCACCAAAAAGAACGTTAATGAGGACTTTAACTAAATCCGTTATTCCGGAAGAAATTCTCAGAAGAATTAAGGAACTCACCGGACTTGATGCCCCAAGAAACGTCTCCACTTACGATCACATTAATTTCAGAATTCTTATGCCGAATTTCAAAAAATGTTTAATAAAAGGAGGCGAACATAAGAATAATAATGTATTTTACGTGTATAATGTCGAAAACGACACCCTCAAACAAGACTGCTGGAATGAAAAATGTAGAGAGTCCAAAAAGATGAAGCCCGATTTAAGACATTTCCACCCTGAGGACTTTACGGATAACTTTAGTGAAGATGATATTGCAATTTTTGAAGATTAATCATATTATGTTATTTCTCCAACCTTTTTCTTCAATTTTGATTTCTTTGCGAAATTTCCCTATGTTTGCCTCTAATGAATAAGATGTTCCTTTTTTGAATTTTTGAAATGAATTCATGAAAATCATTCATATTTTGTCTTCTATTAAATTTAATAATAGTATAAGTCTAGTCAATTTGTTGCGTTTTTACTGTTAATTACTGTTAATTTATAAGTATATATTAATAATCTTTTGAATTTTTTCTTTCCATCATCTTATCCTGAATATAGTCAATTTTACAGTGTTATTCCACGAAGTTGAGGATATTCCATATTCGGGAATATGATGTCATATGGTCTAATTTTTAATTCTCAATTGAGTATTTGGGTTCTTTCGTAGAGAAAGGTATAAGTATATGTCCATTTTTCTTAGCACCCTAATGTGAATTGTAATTCTTAGGAAATTAGGTGGTTTTTCCGTAATGTTGAATGGAAATCGTTTTACGTTGAAATACTGGATGGATATTATGTATATAGTTATTCGAAAGGAGAATGTTAAGGATGATTCTTACGAAAATTAATGTGTTGATCATAATTATTGTATAAAGTGAATTTGTAAGAAGGAGTAAAAAGAATTCTCAATTATTCCCTTTACATGGAATGAGAAGGTATAATTAATATTACATAAATTCCTCTGTATGACTTAATTGGGTTAATTATGATTCTTTATAATTTAAATACTTGGAATATGTATTCTAGTAAAATAATTCTTTACCTCCATCAAGAATTGAAATTAAAATTTCAATGAATGAGTGTAGTATATTTATGTCTACAAGGTACTTATAAAAATTTCCTTTTTGGGCGTATAGTATAATAAAAACAGGAATGAGGAAGAAGTAACGTTATTACGAGCCTTTTTTCTGTTAAATGAATTAATTTATAAGTATATATTATTACTCTTTTGATTTTTTTCTCTCAATCATCGTATCCTGATTATATTCAATTTTACAGTGCTATTCCACGAAGTTGAGGATACACAATATTCGGGAATATGATGTCATATCGTATAATTATTAATTCTCAATTGAGTATTTGGGTTCTTTCGTAGAGAAAGGAATAATTATATGTCCATTTTCCTTAACACCCTAATGTGAATTCTAATTCTTGAGAAATGAGGTGTTTTTTCCGTAAAGTTGAATGGAAATCGTTTTACTTTGAAATACAGGGAGGATATTATGTATATAGTTATTCGAAAGGAGAATGTTAAGGATGATTCTTACGAAAATTAATGTGTTGTTCATAATTATTGTATAAAGTGAATTTGTAAGAAGGAGTAAAAGGAATTGTCACTTATTCCCCCGGGAACACTTATGCCGGGCCCCTTTAATGGCCACTGACGTGCAGTTTCCTGAACATAGTTGGTCCTAATAACGCATTGGTCCTAATAACGTATGAATTTTTCAAGCATTTACTCATGCTTAAAAAGCTTACCAAAAGCATATTTCAACGGAAAAATTGCGATTTTTTTCGATTTTGTCGGCTAAAAATCGCTAGGATCATCAACGTCTGAGTGATTATCCTCGATCTTGTTACAATAAAATCGCGATTTCATCGCCCGGCAATTAATGGCGATATTATTGCAACAAAAATTGCGATGTATAGCGATTCAATCTCGATTTTATCGACAAAAATTGATCGCAATTTTATTGAAAAAAAAATTGCGATGCATAGCGATTTAATCGCCATAAATCGCAATTTTTTATTCGATAATATTGCGATAAATTGCCACCGATAAAATCGCGATAACCAACCAATAAAATCGCTATTTATCGCGATCACTGCTACTTGGGTAGTCCGATGGAATTCCATATCGCTACAACGTGCAGCAGACTTTCCAGTATTAAAAGTATGTCGGTCATTGCTGATGATGAGACAGATGACACCGGTTCGATTTTGATGATACACTTGCGAGTGAGTTACCGTCTTAAGCAGTTCCGTCATTCGTATTACGTAGAACTTCTGTTCCCGACGCGTTTTGACCGTATATCACACGGAAAAAACGAGCTTAGGGTTGGGACCTACATGTTAGTGCGGGGCACTAACGAGGGTTAGATCAAATGGAGCCAGCAAGTCAGAGGAGTGCTGGGCACTAAACAGCTCGAGNATAGCTGTCTTTCCTGGAGTGACACATGCTACAAGGAGCTTCCCATGCCAGAGCGAGCTATCTAACTCACCGCAAAATTTTGTCACTCGATGCTCCAGGCAGGATAGCTCCATAATATTTCACTCAGGCCACTCAGGCCAGAATAATTTTTAACAGTGTACTCCCCACTAAACGGCCAGTAGTGCTCAACACTAGTCTTGTTTTTTCCGTGCAGGCATCGTCCAGGACGCAATTCAATTATCGTAAAATACATCGAATTATCGCAACGGTGATAACTGGTCACCGAGTACTGAACATCATGGAGGATAGAAAACTAGAATGTAGGATTTGTGTGAATTGAAAGCCTCTTGGTGGATACATTGACGTTAGACCCTCGTTTGCCATTAAGACGCTAC